GCGACATGGCAGCAGATTTCTTGACCAAGAAACTGCCACGTCAGAAATTTCAGCGCTATGCTAACCTCTGCGGCATTTTGAAGAAGTCTCACGTGGCTTACCTTCAAGAATGAAGGGGAGTGTTTGGATAACCAATGGGTTATTGTAGCATTCACGAAGGCTCCTCTTCTAGCGTACCACTTCATAACGAAGCAGGGCTCCTGTACTAGTATCGCTACATGCTCATATAGAGCACTCGGAAGATCGAGAGTCACTCGAAGGTCAACAGTGACTGAAAGTCAACGGTCGTAACTGTATACCGATCGACAACTGTATCAGAGGTTACGCAATGCAACCAAGTAATTGTCAAGAAGGGCAATACGCACAGTTAGTGTAGCTTTGCATTACAGTTGCAATAGGGGAATGTACCCCTTAGAGTACATGGCTAGCTAGGCTTCTATGTAATTTCCATGTAATTCTATCTTACTGTAATCATCTTGTTCTCTTTCAACTATTATTGAAAAGGTCACTCGAATACTTCATTGTCTTGCTACAACTTAGCAACCTTATCCTGTCCATTTTGATCCTTCAGTTATAACAGCAAAACACCCCACTGCACTCCTTATGGTACATACCCTCGGTGAAACTTTCATGATGGTTTATGACGTTTATCGAATCATCTGCGGGGGGAGCCCTTCACCCCAATCTCGATTATGCGTAAAGCATTAAGCATATCAAGAATAACCATTCCCTTCCTCCGCCCGAGAATCAAGTGCGAGTTTTAAGAGAGTACTTTAGGTTGTCTATTGATCCCTAATATTATGGGTGTACGTAACGTAAAGCCAAAATACGTATTGGATAGAGAGTACGGGATTTGCTTTTTTCGAGAACAGCAAAGTCGCCCTAGACGTTGGGACTTTGCAGCGAGGCCACCATAGTTCTATTCCACCGCAACCACCGCTCGCACTTACCTGAAGACCATGTTTCGAGGACGCGATGTGAGCGCTTATGGTATGTAGATTCTATGTGCCCGGACGATTCCTTTAGAATCCCAGCCTAGCCTGAACAACTCGGCCTCGTACTAGCTAGGGTACCACGTGACTCCGACTTGATCCGATCAGGTTTCAAGGCTACCTGAGCGACGACTCGCAGACGCAGAATCCGCTGGGAGGTGGTTGGACTCCTTCGTGGTTTGCTCGAGGCCTGCTCGAGGTTTCTTCGAAGGCTTGTTTGAATTGGTTAAAGAGGTCGATCTCAACGCATGGCGAATGCGGCGGAGGTTCCGACAGACGTGGGTCGGCATTTGCGGGCGTGCCTTCGCTGCTCGCTCTTAAAGACATACGACCAGGTAGGGCAGATGGGACAGTTTAGATGCTGAGCTTCTCTCCGCGCTTTCATTCTCAGCCGTGGGGGACTAGGTTTTTAAGTGCTGAAAACCGAGAGCAGGATTAGGGACTTGATAAACGTCTCACCGCGCGTCGTTTCCATTCCCCACCCTGATGTTTACGTGCGACTGTCGATCGCATGTGCTTGCTTCAGCTCGAACCCCCTTCGCCGTCCATATATCAATCTCCTCCATCTATCGCTACTTCGTCTTCGTCCTCTCCTGTTCCTTACACATCCGTCTCGCTTATCTCTGTCCATGCGCCACGTGTTGTTCCTGTGCTTCAAAACCACATTGAACGCAGTTTTACGCCAACGGATGCGAGAATTGCCCGTTTTTCGAGATGGATGGTGACGAGGAGAGAGTGAAGGACGCCACGACAGCCAATTTTTCAGGGTAAACCGTCCTTGCTTCTTGGTAACCCGTCATTGCTTCTTGGTAACCCGGCCTAACTTCTTGGTGCTTGTTTCTTGGTAACCTGTCCTTGCTTTTTGGTAACCCGTCTTGGTATCCCGTCCTTGCTTCTTGGTATTCCGTCCTTGCATCTTGATAACCCGTCCTTGCATCTTGATAACCCGTCCTTGCTTCTTGGCTTGTCCTTGCCGTTTAGAACGCCCTCGTCACCTGAAATATCCTTGCCACTTGGAACGCTCTTTGTTTAATGTGCCGCACGCAATGCTATTGCTGCCTGCCTTGCTCGTCTCTCCACTGTTCCCTTGTGTACTTCCGTTCCTGTTCTGTCTGTCCTGCAAATGGTTATGTAACACCTTCTCTCCTTCTGACACCCTTTTTTTTTTTTTTTTTTGTTATGTACCAATCCCCCCCCCCCCCCCTCTCTTTTCCTACAGCATCATTTCCTGCATGGATCCTGCTGGAAGCTGGGCAGCACGTTGGCTCAGAATAAGTAAGCTTTCCCTCTGCAGTGTCCTTTTTTTACCCGTCGTTTATTCCTTTTCAGAGAAAACAGATCACATTACTCTTTCTCAACGTTTTCATGCATGCTTCACAAAAATGTCCACCTGCTTTGCAAGTTCGGGAAGTTACACCATACCATCTCCCATTTCCCTCTGGCTTGCAGGCCGGGCTGCCCCAGGGTGCTACGCCATATCGGTGACAGGCAACCTTACAGACGACCTTCAGGTCCGTGCCATTCACCCACCTTTAGGAAGGACATAACACGGAGGTGATGAGAGAAGGGAAGGGACTGGGGAAAGGAAGGAAGAGAGAGGGAGGGGGGAGGAGGAGGAGGAGGAGGAGGAGAGAGTCTGATTGTACAGAAATGGGGAGAGAGGTCAGGTTGGCCTTCATGTAGTTCAGTGTCATTCTGCCGCCCACAGAACAGTGTCTCAAGAACTCATGATAGTTGTTGCATGCTCAGTGTGTAGGATACCCATGGGTTCTATGGCTCACAATGTACAATTTTGTGTTCTTTCATTGCCGTTCCCCACACTCTCATTGCCTTCCACCCATATATGTTCTCTTTTGTTTTGATATGTTTCGTGTTTCCTTTTCCTTTAGCCTTTCTTTTCGTCCCCCTTTCCCCCCACTCCCACTCCCCCTCCCTCTCCCCAACCCCCACCCTCCCACCCCACCCCCCTTCCTTCTCTTTGTGTCGATGAGCATGCTGTTTGGTCTGCTACCACCGGACCTTGTTGTGCAGTCTATTTGTGAGAGCAACAATGTGCGATATGTCCCAAGATCAAATTATGCAGCACGTCCTTAATGGGCAACTATTATACTGTAAATGGTTTGTCTTGTGCTTTATTAATGTAAAATGTCATTGCACAACACATCCTCCCATTGTGTTTGCACGGACAGTGCCCTGGAAAATGGTCCCAGCATATCATCCTGTATATGCCACTCATGCACACTTTGATTTTCACATTTTGTGATAAAGGTGGTCTGATTGAACATAACTCACTAGTGCCCATATTTTTCCCCATATTCACAACATCTATAGTAAAAGAAAGATTCCAACAAATACTGTAAATGTAGCATTTTGTCTAAAGAGGGTATTTTTATGAAAAGTATCACCCCAGTTCGCTAGCTCGCACGACCTCGATGAGCCGAATGGAGCGGGTGTGGCAGGTCGCAGAGGGCGTGTCTAGAAAGACGCAATCAATCGTTTCGGAAGCTTGGTTTCTCTCATTGTTGCACATTCAGGAACTCAGACCATCAACGCTAATGCTCCTATACGTCAAAACCTAATCACGCCCTCACATACGATCATTCGGTACGCAGCTGTTGGCGCGTTCCACGGGTCCCTCATCCTTTCATACAACACTTGGAAGCCGTTGGCCCGAAACGCTCTTATCGGCTGCAAGTTTTGACGCCGTCAGCAGAATTCTGCACGATGGTGCATCCGTGGATTCCCCTCCCAAATGTGCCCATCGCATTCTTCGCTTCGCGAATCGCGAGGCATGAAAGCGGCCACATGGATAACTCGCGAGAGGCGTAACCACCCGAACCAGTTCGCCTTGACATTTGGGATCACATTTCGTCGCGCTTCGGAACCATGCATCCCTCCTTCTGGACTGTGTGACAATTCACAACCAAATCAGAAATCACCGCATTAGAACGCATCAAATCGTAGCTCACCTTCCTATCCTTACCCTCTTCACCTCACCGAAGAAGGGCTCATTGTCGGCGCGCTTCGAGGTCACCTCACCTTGTCCACCACTAGCCCATCCCAAGATTTTCACTGCTCCAAGCTACTGTTTCCCCCCATCACAACCTAGTTGTCTCGCCGCCATAACCACGTCCTCCCCACCTCCGCCTTCCGCAATGATCGGCACCACCACGATGCGAATGCTGCAGCCCTCACGCGTCGTTACCGTGCTTTCAAACCGAAGGTGCATCTGCGCAAATTTCTCAGTTGTTGCCTGCGGTCAAGCATCTCTATAGGCCGTCTTCTCGACGGAATACGGAAGCTTGTGCTCCAAGCCGACGGTTTCTCATGCCTTTGGCGTGTGGAGTGCAGGCTACTGACGACGCCTAGACTCAGCACAGCACAGTCAGACCTCCAACTTGCCTCGTAGTGAACAGCTCCGAAGAAGCCGCATTCGAATCAAGTTTTCTTCTCTCAGGGTGTGTTATCCTAATTCGTTAGTCCATTTTCTGCACCACTGCGACAGACGACATGTCGAGATGGCGGTGCTCTCCACCAGTCTTGCTTCTATCGCTCGTCCTTCTTCTCTTGTCTTCCGGTCTTATCGGGGAATGCTCGCAAGCCCCTCTAGTAAGAATCGCCGACATATTACAAGCAAGGAATGCCATTCCGCGCGAGGCAACCTCCACCCACAATTCACCTCCTAATGGCGACCAGACATCAGTGCCAGGGGTGACGGCAAGAGAATCAGCCCTGAGCGAGGGAGAGCAAACACGAGGGTCTTCTCGCGTCGAAGATGGCGGGCTCAACGAGGGAAAAGAGCAAATATATGAAGACTCGAAGGCTGAAATTCCCGATGCCGTGCGTAATGCTACGTCTTCTGCGACAGATTCGAGCTCGGCGAACGAGGGCGATTACTGGTGGGAGGTCGCAGAGGGTGACCCTGTCGTTGACGACGGCTTGCGACGAGTTTTGGCGTCGCGGGGTCGTGGCGGGAACCAGTACCCGCTCTTAACTAAGTGCAACGCGATGGTGGGAAAAGACGGCAGCAGCCAGTACAAGAACGTGCAGGACGCCGTGGACAGAATCCCCCAGTCGCGATCCTCCACGTGGCGCATCTGCATAAAACCGGGCCGTTACAACGAGCAGGTACACATCAAGCCCGGGCAGAACAAGGTCGACCTCCGAGGTTGTGGCAGGTCGACAATCATCTCAGCGGGGAACGCGCAGTCGAAGCGAGGCTCGCCGTGGTATGCGGCGACGCTCGTGGTGGAAGGGAACGACTTTACCGCAGCGGGCTTTATCGTTGAAAATACGGCCAAAACGACGTTCGACCCCGCACCTGCTGTAGGCCTTCTCGGCTCGCGATCGCGTTGGTCCGCTGTGGGTTTGATCGCTTGGGTTGACACGCTCGGTGCGTTCACGGGGAAGCACTTGTTCCAGACGTGTTACATCTCCGGGCTCACGGATGTCATCTGGGGGTTCGGACGCGTGGCGATCGTTGATTCGCAGATCGACGTCCGGCACTACGAGGCGAGTATTCAGTACATCGGGTATCTGACGGCGATGGGCACGGATTGGCCAACCGGAAGCATGGGAACCGGCGGCGCGATTCTGTCCAAATGTAGCATCAACGGCAACGGGAAGGCTTATCTGGGCAGGCCGTATCGCGATAAGTCTCTGGTGGTGTACGATTCGTGCTACATGGATAAAGCCGTTATGCCCGTGGGCTGGTCGGACTGGCAAGGTCGTTATTCCAAAGGCGGGGTTCAGTTTAAGGAGTACAACTCGCGAGGGCCCGGGTCGTCGCCAGGGGAGAGGCGGATGGCGAGTGTGAATGGGGGGAGTGTGCCAGGTAGCTACAACTGGAGGCAATTCATAGCTTAGGAGATGTACAGTGGGCGATGTAATGTGCTTTCGGTCCTCTAACACGAGGTATGCGAGGTGAATAATATAGTTACGGACCAGTACGCATATTAATTAGGCTGGTTCATAAGCTTTGATATTGCTGGTGTGCAAGTGAGGGCAGGAGAGGAGGGCGCATGGTCGGATGGGAAGGCCGTAGCGCTTTTTACCATTGCATCGGGAAATAGTTTATGATGTACCGATAACTAGCGGTTTCCATGTTTATTTCACCATGAGGGTTACATCAACTCCTGACTGGCTGGCTGGCTAGTTAGGCTGTTCCTCACTCTCAATCTGGACAATTATCACTGCAGGCAGACAAAGCTGTGAAGATGTGGTATTAACAAGCCATGCCATGCTCTCGATTCTAATGAAGTTGAAGGCTGCTTTCCTGCTTGATGTGATGCTCCAAACCAAACCAGAGCAGTGCTGTGTTTTTGCTCGACTCTGTTTGGCCTTCCGTTGTTCCCGCAGTGTCGGCATGACTCCTGACATTCCTGAATTTGTGAATTTCCTCGTCTGCAACGCATGTTCCTTTGTAATCAATATATATAGAGGCCACACATACATAATGGCATAAGCATATATAATAATCTCCTACTACTAGCAAAGGCATGGTACTTGAAGCATCGCAACCACCAATGTCCTACTTCGAAGAAGCCTGCAGGGGGGTTGCTGGGGAAAACAAAACAGCTGCTCACACGGAGCACAAAACAACGGCAAGGCACAGCACCGCACCGCAACCATCAGCTGCTGCAGCAGAAACAAAAAGCAACAGGCAGCAGCACACAGTCATCATCACCACCACAACCCAAAAATGCTGCTGGCCGCAGCCTGTGCCAGGCCTGCTCTCTCCTTGGCCTCCCAGTCTCGACTCCAGCCTAGCACACTGTAGACACCACATCTGACTGAATTCCCACTGTGGGCGGCTGAGCCACGACCTTCCTCAGGTAACACCCACCCCCGGTGTAGCTATCCAGCTCGTACGTATGGTTGGAATAAATAGTGCGGCTCTTGACCGCGCCTGTTACAGAGTAAGTCTCCTTGAACCCTGCGATGCGCTCGTTGTGCAGGTATGTCTGCAGTGCGGCTGATGGGGAGGCGTCAGCAGGCTGGTAGTAGTTGAAGGTGTTGTTGGTGAGGAAGTAGACAGAGCCAGCAGCTGTTGTGGGGAGAGGGATGGGAGGGATGGGGGTGTGTTGGGAAGAGGGGACAGCAGAAAAGGGCAGGTTGGGATACAGGGAGTAGATGGGGAGGCGCCCACCGGCTGGTAGTAGTTGAAGGTGCTGTTGGTGAGGAAGTAGACAGAGCCTGCAGCTGTTGTGGGGAGAGGAGGGGGGAGAGGATGGGGAAGAGATGGGAAGCATGACAGTAGGTGAAGAGAGTGTTGTCTATGTTAGCCGATAAAGTGTCATTCGAATGGTTTGAAAGGGGGGATTGATAAGGGGATGACGAGGGTGCGAATCTTTGGAGGATTGGGAAGGAGGCACAGAAATGGGAGACGAGAGGGGTATGGAGGGGAAGTAGAAGCACAGAGAGAGAAAGGAGCAGTGTGCGCATCGACAGTTCTGGTTGGGCTGTGAGCATTAAAGCACAAGAACGTACCATCAAGGCGGGTCTGGTTCATGAAAAGAGGGAAGTTGAACCTCTCAACCACCGTCGACGCCACTGTAGCCGGATCTCCCGGAACCGACCGCGTAACGGTAACCGCCGTAACGATGTTCTGGCGCCAAACCTGTACCCACTGGTTGTTGGCCGAGGTCACAGTGGCATCAAAGGCCAGAGAGGCGGTGACGACGGTTTGCACTGCGCCTGCTGCGGTGGTGACAGTGCCTGTGATGGTGTAGTCTCGTGCTGCTGTTGTGCCGAAGACTCCATTGGTCCCGGATGCTCCCGTTGCGGTTTCTGTGATGGGGGTTACCAGGTCACCACCCTGTTGGGGACAAGGCGGGTGATCAGTAATGAAACGCGGAGAGACAGGGGACGGGGGGGAGAGGGAGGGGGGGGGGGGGGGGGGGGGGGAGGAAGAAGGAGGCATAGTGAAAGCGAGGAAGGAGCGACGCAAGGCCGTAGAGAGAGGGCCGGGCGAACGTGGAGCGAGGTAAGAAAGGGGAGGAACTGAGAGCAGGTTGAACGATAAGCTGCAAGCATCATCATCAGCATACCTTGCACAAACCGACTTACAGTGACAGTGGGTGCAGCCCCAGCGGTGGTTGCAACACCAGCATCCGTCCAAAGATGCAGCGAGCCTGTGAAATACCAGTTACTCCCGGACACAGCCTTGGGAATAGCCAGAGTGATGGTGTGCGCGTTCCCGTCCGACAGCAGTGCAGCGAAGGGCGAGACGTCGAAGGAGTAGACGGGGATGAGGAAGTTGCCGTTGCCGACGAGCGGTGACCACATGAGGGGGTTGACGGCGCCTGTGTAGAAGATGGGCGCGGGGAAGACGGAGCCTGCGAATATGCCGTCGATCTGCAGGACTAGCTCGCGGAATGCCCCCCCCTCCGGCTGGAATGTGGCTCTGTGAGGGAGAAGGGGAAGGGATGGGGAGAGTTAAAGGGGGGGAGAAGAAGAGAGTTGAGACGGGAGGAGCATGGGAGAGGGGAGGGAGGAGGAGGGAGCGGGGGTGAGAGGGAGGGAGAGAAGGCACAAGGGAAAGAAAATAGCGAGAAAGGGGGAAGGGGGGCCATGAGGAACACGAGTTGGGGTGGTTGAACTGGCAGAACTCGTCCTGCGCGTGCGCGGACATAAGCAAGTCAAAGCGGAAGGGGGAAGATGGAAGGGGGAAGGCGGAAGGGTGAGCAGGGACGCACGAGTTTGGGCAATTGAACTTGTAGAACTCGTCATTCGCGTGCGCAGACATGAGCAGGTCAAAGCGGAATGGGGAAGGCGGAAGGGGTAAGGAGGAAGAGGTAAGGGGGAAGGGGGAAGGCGGAAGGGGGAAGGCGGAAGGGGTAAGGAGGAAGAGGTAAGGGGGAAGGGGGAAAGCGGAAGGGGGAGCATTGACGCACGAGTTGGGGTAGTTGAACTGGTAGAACTCGTCATTCGCGTGCGCGGACACGAGCAGGTCAAAGCGCGCGCGCACGGCGTTGGCGGGCAGGCCTGAGACGGCGGCGGAGGCGGAGAGAACCGCGCCGCCCGTGACGTTGAGGTAGCGCGAGAGCACGGCGGGGGAGAACCAGGGCACGATGGCGGACGCGGCGGGCGCGGGGGATGGCCCGCCTGTGTAGAAGAGCAGAGAGGCGGTCACGTAGAATATGCCTGGGGAGGGAGGGGGAGGTGGGGGGTGGGGAGGGGTGAAGAGGGGTGGGGAGATGAGAGGGGAGTACAGGGGGGAGGGACCGACGGAACAAGCAAGTGGCAGGGAACAAATGAGAGTGGTGCCATGGCGAGGAAAGGAAGCACGCATGGAGACTCATGGGGGCTGTATGCAATGTGGGTGCACGCAGTGGTGGGTGGGTGGGTGGATGGGTGAGTGAGCGGGTGGGCGGGCGGGGGAGTTCGGTGAGTGGGTGAGTGGGTGGGTGGGCGGTAGTACCTGTGTAAGTGCGGTCAACTACATTCTCAAGGTACACTGACAGCACGTTGTTCTGGTGGGGCGAGGGGGAGGAAGAAACGGTGCAAGGACGAGACGGGAGACGCGGAGTGAGACGAGGAAGAGATGGGAGGTGGGCCGAGCTCGCCCTTTTGTGCTGCACAGGAAAGAGCTTTCAAGTGCCTCGGAAAACACTCGTGCCACAAAGCGGCGCAGGTGGGAACTATTAGTGCACTGGTGTAACGCGGTGCGACGATGAGAAGGGAAGAGGAGAGTAGGGAGCCGCGGCGGCACTCACGGTCCGGACAGCGGGCGAGAGCGCTGTGAGGTCGCGCTCAAACGAGTACTTTACTGACGTGCCCAGAGGCTCCGCCGTGCTGCGCGTGTGGTCACAGAGAGGCGGGGGAAGGACAGGGGGAGTGGGCGGAAGCGGAGGGGGGAAAGAGAGGAGAAGGCGGTACAGTGGGTTATGGGAGATGTTGCGTTGGACACCGGGAGGAGGCAGGGCACGAAGCGAGGAGCGGGGGTTAGGCAGGGAGTACTGAGGAGAAGGGCGCACGTGGAACGATGGTGACTTTTAAATCGACTCAAAACCGAAGGCTAGGAGGAGGAGAGGAGAGGAGAGGAGAGGAGAGGAGAGGAGAGGAGAGGAGAGGAGAGGAGAGGAGAGGAGAGGAGAGGAGAGGAGAGAAGAGGAGAGGAGGAGACGAGAGCAGAGGAAGGCCGTACACGGAGCGCGAGACTTAATGGTTGCCGATGAAGACGGACATGCGGCGGTCGTGGTGACATCTGAGTCGACTAAAATACAAGAGGCTACGAGGAGGGGGGGGAGAAAGGATACGAGGAGTTGGGTGAAAAGGATACGAGGAGGGGGGGAAGAAAAGGATACGAGGAGGAGCGTACACGGAACGCGAGACTTCATGGTTGCCGATGAAGACGGACATGCGGCGGTCGAACTGCACGCCGCTCACGCGCACGCTCACGTTCAGCACCGCCATGGACCACGCGCCCTGCCAGTCGCGCGCGCGGAGTATGCAAGATACGGGACGATACGCATACGCGGAAAGACGCAGAGACACAGAGAGGATGCATTGGTGAGAACGTGCGGCGGGTTGGCGCGAGGGGAATTGGCGTGGTCGGTATTTGCGCGGCTGAAGAGGGACGTGAGGTGGTACGTTAGCGCACTCGTTGAGCGCACCGCGAACGCCGCAGATATGCTATGATGAGTCATGGGTGTTGCAATGTTATCATGAGCGTACCGCGCACGCGGCAGGAATGGCGTAGTTGCCCGCAGTCGGCGGGGAGCCATAGGTGCTGGCGAACGGCGCGTCGACGAGCGGCGTCACGCTGCCGCATAGCGCGGAGCCCGCGGGCCGCGCCAACGGCTTGGTGACTTCAATGACGTTGAAGTACGTCGTTCCGCCGCCGCCGCCGCCGCCGCCGCCGC